CTCCGCCCCGGGGAGGGAGCCCGAGAGCAGCGAGGGGTAACGCAGCGAGTCCTTCCACAGCGTTTATTGGGTCAAACTACGAGTAAGAACAGGCTGCGACAGGCCGGGCGCGGCCCCGGTGGCGCAGGGCAGCGAGCGGTGCGAGTGTCCCACGCCTACAGCCAACCCTTCCTGCTCCCCCGGTCCGAACATACCCCGCCCAGGAGCAGGGACTGGCACAGGGTTTGGACCACCAAACGTAGAAATGAGGTGTGACAGATTACTGAACTAGAGGTAAAAGAGAAAAAAACTCCAAAATAAACAGTACAGTCCATCCTCATGCATCACATTGCCAGGAGCTGCTCCAGGTCATCCAGTATTGTTGAACATTCCTTGAGTTCAGCTTGAAAGAAGGAATGCTTCTCCAGGCACTGGTGGCTCTCCTTCTCTGCCGATTTCCACTTGGACATCGCTGTCTGTGGAGAAGTCAGTGCACATCAGAGTGAGCAACAGCAAAGCCAAGGCCTAAAGCAGCTCCAGCTAAAGCATCTGAGCAATTCCTCCTCAACTACTATTAGTTTGCCTTGACTGGGATGTCTTTTACCTTGGTTCCTTGAGGAAAATGTCAATTTATCTGCAACCAAAATTTACGATGTCTCATAAATCAGCTATTAATTAACTCTTAAGTCTCTTACCAAGGATTGTAGATCTGTATTTTAATGACTTATTTTGGTCTGTATATAGAGAATTACTGAAGCTGCTTGTGCTCACACACTTCTCAGTTCCCCCAGAAACTGCCTGAGGCCACTGCCCAGTGGCAGTTGCCAAGTTACATCAAATCCTCTGAGTTCCAGAGGAACAACCAGGCTGGTGGATCCCTCTGTTTAGACAGGGAAATAACACACAGTTTCCTTAACATAAAACATGAACACTACAGGTTTTCATCTAGTTTGTTTGGAGAACAGAGCAGAATTGGGAGGAGCAAAATCACCTCCCTCAGCATCCAGTGCTCATTGCCTGGTTAAGTCAGTCACAGTCTTACCTGCAGCACCTCCTTCTCTTTTGCAGCTGTTTGATTAAATAGCCTCAATTCTTCTATGAGCTTCTCAGTTAACAACTGAAGAGCCAAGAGGAAAACAACTTTTAATATAGTGCAAATAAATGTGAGTCTCAGCTGCTGTTTCAGCATCAGGAGAGAAGCGCAGGGGCACACAGACCTCTCAAAGCCCATTTCAAACTTTTTCTTACCATTGTCTGCTTCTGGCACTCCTGGGTCTCCTCCTCCTTCTCCACAATGTTGCTGCCTGTAACTGATTTATGGGATGCATTAGTGAACCTCTAATATACAGAAAACTAAGAACAAGAAGTTTTATGAAGTAACTTTCTACAGCAAGAAAGACTCAGTTATCTGAATAAGTAGCAGAATGTAAGTGAAGTGCAGAGTCCTTACCAGGATCAATGTTCCTGCTTTCCAAAATCATCATGCAATTATCCTGGAATTTCTTGAGCTTCTCAGTTTCTTGGACCAGGCTGTCATTCTTCTCCTTTAACTCCTTTATAGTGACCTGTCGTTAACACAGGTTGTAAGTGAAGAAAGTTTCCAAGGAGATTCCCTCCTCCTCAGATAGGGTGACACTCACAGTGTAACAAGTGCTGCCCTGGCACCAAGAACCAGACCTTGCCCTTTTGTCTCTGCCACCACAACAAATTAGGCTGTTGCAGACCCTTATTACTGCTTTTGGACAGGATGAATCCATTTATCATGTCCAGGTGTCACAGCAGGTACTAGAAAAATTTGATCCTAGAGAAATTCCTCTTAGGCAATTCTGTATCTTTTCTTGTGCTCCCTCTCACATGCATAAATAATTCATGCACTGAGGAACATATAAACATTGGGAAGTTTCTCTTAATGCAGTGAGGAAGCACCTGGCAATATTGAGGCTGTTTTAATAGAATTCCATTCCAGTGTCTAGTTGTGAACTAGAAATATTCTCCCACAACGAGTCTGAAGTGGAATTAGAGCTCTGATGACTATTTAACAGGGATCTGAATGCATTTTCCATCCCAATACAGCTGCAGCTCTGCTGATGTCCAGGTTCTAGCAGCCATCGTGGGTGTCAGAGGAGGAAACCCAGCCCACCCAAACTCCACTGCCTTCTGATGGAGACAGGAAAATGAGCAAGACAATCCTTAACATGACCTTGTAGGGTTCAGAATGACTCAGTAATTTGTTTTTCCCCCATTCCTTACCTGTGCCTCCGTTAGTCTGGAGTGTAGCTCTTGTTTGGCTGTTTCCAACAGCTGATTCTTGCTCTTCAGCTCTGCTTCTAGTTTGTATCTGTTGAGAGGTCTATGAAGTGAAAAAGCAAATATTTAGGGACAGAAATACCAGTGTTGTACACTTTATTTTGCTTACACAAATAGGCTTTTTTTTTTTCTTAAGCATTCACTTTTGTTACTGACCGAGAGATTTAACCAGCAGGTTTGACAAGAAAGCTGCACATAGGTAAGAGCTCACTGTAACCCTCTAAGAGGGAACACTGCTCCATGAGGGCAACAAAGAGATGTGAGGACACATACCCTCTGGTCATTGTCTTCCTTGAAGAAGGTTCCACTTTCTTGGCAGATTTAGGCAACCTTAAAACACAGATAAAATACAATCAGTAGAAGACCACCACGTTCTTGTAGATCACAACCCTGTTAGCTTGACAAAATCTGCACAATAAGCCACTTTTAGGGCATTTTCCAAATCAATCCATCAATATTTTGTGTTCTGTTTACCCTTGATTTGCAGCTTTGAAGGCACCATCTGCTGGGATATTGGAGCTGAAGTTAAAATTGGGATCCATGTTGAACTCTGGCTCGGCTGGTTTGGTGGCACATTGTTTCTTTGAAGTCATTTGTGTTTCTGCAAGAAAGTGGCAACAGTGACAACACCATGGTCTAGAGAAGACCTCCTTAAGGTCACTTACACCTTCAGTTTAGGTAAATCACAGCTGTATCTGGCTAGAATGGAGACTTTAATGGACAAGCAACTAAGGGCAGGCTGCAAACTTGACCCAGGATAAAGGGTCCAGAATGAGCCACGGATAGGTCAGATGCAGACAACACAGTTATTAAAGCAACACTAGTGAGAGACAGTTTGAAACAGTAATACATAATAAAAGAGGTCTCAACATGAAGCAGACAAAGTGCCACAGGGTTCCAAGCAATGCTCTTCAGAGCTGAAAGCAAAACAGATACAGCCCAGATCCCGTGTTTTAACATTAATCCAGGATGCCTCACATTTATAAAGTGCTGCAAGTGGCATTAAAAGATTTAATTAAGATTAAAAGTAGGAAGAGCCCTTGAAGGAAGCATCTTTCAGATCAATAGGCTGCTGCCTTCAGCAGGCAGGGGATAGAATCATCAGCGTTGGAAGAGACCTTTAATATCATTAAGTCCAACCCTCCACCAGCACAACTGTAACCCCTAAACCACTAAATCATATCACCTAGATCCAGATGCCTCTTAAACAACTCCAGGGATGGTGATTCCTCCCTGGGCAACCTGTTCCAATGCTTGCCCACCCTAACAGGGAGCAATTTGCTTCTAATACCCAATCTGAATCTCCTCTGACTCAGCTCAAAGCCATTGCCTCTAGTCCTCTTGCTGCAGGCACTGCAAAAACAGACCACAGTATGCTAAACTGTGACTCCACCAGCAACAAAACCAGCCAAAAATGTTAACCAGAGGCCTAAATAATGATAAAACAGTTGAATAAATAGAATCATCGAACTTTG